GGTGGTTAGTTTTCGAGAAAAATTTAAGTGTTTCAAAAATGGTCAAAAATCAAAAAATTGATTATTTTGAGAGCCATCAGTTTTTGTCTAAACAATTTGGTGCAACCACTTTTGCAGGAGAGCTTTCCACAACTTTTTACTTCCAATGAACCCAAAATCTCAGATTTGGGCAGGTAGTTTCGAAAAAAAAAATAGAAAAAATTGGGTCAAAAATTCACCCCATACTTTTTTCGGAGGCTGTAGAAAGTGGTGTCAGGTAAAAAAAAAAGACTACGGGAGTATGCAGGCGTACAGGGGAGTGGTCGGAATTCCCATTGATTCCAATTTTTTTTTGAAAATCTGTTCTCGAGAAGAACAAAAACTTTCCATAACGTCTCAAAAAATTGAAAAACAAAAAAACCCAATCCCATACATTTTTTAGATACTTGTTTTTATCAAACAAGAACCAGAGGCCAGCTAAAACTGAATATACCTGTTTGATAATTTTTGAAATTTTTGTATTGATGCGGAAGGTCAAAACAGACCTATTGCAAAGAAAAGTGAATCCCAATTTAATGACTTCGAAATCAGTTAGGTACATCTACTACTTCAATTTTTTTAAAACTTGAAATGATTACAAGAATTTGTTAGGTTTAAAGATGCTTAAACCGTTGCTCAATAAATTTGGGTGGGTAGTTTTCGAGAGAAATCGAAAAGTTACAAAAAACGGTAAAAAATCGAAAATTTGTTTTTCCGAGGTTCATGACTTTATTTAAATAAAAATGAGGCGTAACCGGTTATAAAGGGGTGGGGCTTCCCTCAACGCGTTCTTCACGCTGAAATCAATATCTCAGATTTGGGAGGTTGTTTTTGAGAAAAATCAAAAGTTTTCAAAAAACATCAAAAATCGATTTTTCCGAGGGTCAGAACTTTCTGTGTAAAAAAATTTGGGCGTAACCGCTTATACAGGGTACCTTCCCATAACTCGTTTTACCTATTGAAACAAAAATCTCAGTTTTTGCGAAAAGTCAAAAAGTTTGAAAAAACTGTCAAAAAATCGAAAGTTTGATTTTTCGGAGGGTCATAACCTTTTGATTAAAAACATTTAGTCATAATCGTTTATGCAGCGGACTCTACCCCAATACAATTATTGAAATCAAAACCTCAGAACTGGGTTCGAGAAAAATTGAGTGAAATTTTTCCATAATTTCAAAAAACGGTTAAAAAATTGTAAGTTTAATTTTTCTGAGGGTGATATATTTTTGTGTGAAAAATTTTGAGCGTAACCGCTGATGCAGGGGAGCTCCCCAGAATCGGTCCATTCGGTTCAAATCAAAATCTCATCTCTTCTTGGGAGGCTAGAACTTGAGAAAAAGAAAGCGTCAAAAAATGGTCAAAAAAATCGAAAAATTAACTATTTTGCGGGCCATAACTTACTTTTTGTGTAAAAAGTTTTTTCCATTGAACGCAAAGTCTCAGATTTGGGAGGGTAGTCTTCGAGAAAAATCATTTTCAGGGTAAGGGAAAAAGAGACTAGGAGAGGATGCAGGCACACAGGGGAGCAGCCGGACTACCCATTGGTACCACTCTTTTGAAAATCGAAACAAATAGTTTATGGAAAAAAGCGAAACAATTTTCCAAAGCGTCTCAAAAAAACAAAACAAAACAACCCGATCTCAAACATTTTCATAATTATTGTTTTTTTTAAACAGGAATTTGTAATGCAATAGTCTGTGTTAATGTCCTTAGCATTTGACAAGGCCTTCGTTTGAGGAGGCTAAAAGGGTACCGCACTGGGGGATGGTTTTCCTTGTCTTCTTCCTTAGGAGGCGCTGGGATTACCTCTGTACCGCGCTCTGGGGCGTGGGGTGTACCTCCGTACTTCGCTTATTCGACACCTTTTGCTACGGAGGAGGCGAAGAGCTATTTTGGTTTAATAGCCTTTGTTTGGAAATTGTTTCATTATTGTAATCGAGTTAACTTCTTTTCACATCATTTTGATCCTATGATCTATCAAGGGAAGATTTTTTCATCAGATTGTTCAATCAGGAACAGCATTAGTTGTACTTAATAGATGGCTATTGCCCAAATTGAACACTTTAAAAACGAACACATTTTGTCGCCACAATAATTGCGTTGCGACAATTTTTGCGACTTAGATTGTGTAAAAAGAAGAGTGTTCATACTATAACACAAGCTTTGTGCGACTTGAGTTTCTGCGGAAAAAACTATGCGCAAAGCAATGTTTCTCTCCCACAAAATTGGCCGGAATATAAAAATTGACATCTAAACGAAAACTGAAGATAAAAAAGCGAGAAAAAACTGCTAGAACTCGACAAATCATAAAATATAACATGAAAGAATCTTTTGAAATATAATATACTCGTTTCGCCTCAACGCCCAAAAGTATAGCACATCGAAGGATGAAAGCAACGCTGCAATTAATAAGTCTAGACAGTAGCGCAATTTTCGTTTTTTAATCTGAAGTTTAAAAGCGCTCTAGATTATCATAAGTTAAAGGCAGCCTAGACTACTCATATTTGGGGAACGATCTTGCAGCAGACCAATCTTATAGCACAAAGAAATAAAAATGAAATTTTTAGATGACAAATGTTATACTACTGATTCATAAGTAGTTGACAGTCAAAAAAGACGTAAGAAATTAGCCGCAAACACTGATGCACGCGCAAAATTATATTCTGGTGTACGTGCAGCGGAGCAAGCCGTCGCCACCTGCCCATGCCAAGGTTGAAGGTAGAATTTTGCCTCATGAATTGTTTTGAGTCTGCCTAAGGATCGGTCGGCTAAAAACCGGACTGCTAAAAAATCTAGAACCTTCTGTTTCTGATGCAAATTGCTTGAAAAAAGCCTCACAATTGCTTCGCTTTCTTGTGAAGTTCTATTGATTTATTAATAAAACTGCTCAAAGCAAAATCTTCGATGTTTTGATTTCCTTTTGAAATTTGGATGTCAGCTTTGCCTCACAAATTTTGAAGTTTTATCAATTTTATTTTTGAAAAACTTCTTCATAGAGGGATTAAATTCAATCTGGAATAATTTCGCGCGCATGATAAAGCCCGTGAATTTTTAGTCAGGTTATTGATCGCAGGTAAAATATCTAACAGATTTTGAGGGTAGTAACATCTTCCAAATAGTAAAGTTAGTTAAAAACTCGAAAATTATCTCAAGAAAAAAGCCACACCTAGCACAAATATTCATATATTATCTTCGAAGAGAGTCGGAAAAATGTATATTGCAAAATAAGATCAATAATTTTTTGCGTAACATTACGAGGCCAAACTGTGCATTCTGTGCATTGTAAGCGGATTCCGCAAAAAGGCAAAATCAGATTTGTCGCGAAATCCGCAATTATGCTACTTTTCTTTGATCTTCTTCGCTGTTTTGGATTGCACAAACAAATACCTAAGACACTGTACCGCTCAAAATTGCTCCAAAAATAGGCAATTTTGCGGAATTCGCAATCGTACTTGCGGAATCCAGAACAGTTCGTTGAATCCACAAACAAATAATAAAACATTTTTTTAGTAAAATTGAGCTGTTGCGGATTCCACAACTGTAAGCGGAATCCACAGCGTGTACGTGGAATCCGCAAATTGTAAGTTTATTTGCGGATTCCGTTTACATATATGTGTATGTGTAGTATAGCGTTTAAAATTATATCTTTTAATTACTGGTCAACACAAAAATTCAATCTCAATTACTATTACTACATTGATCAACTACCAGTTGAAACGTTTGGTCTCAGTTCCTGTCAACCCAACTTTGATCTCAAATCCTGTCAACTTCAATCTAAACTTCGATCCCAAATACTGACCTACTGAACTTCGATTCCAAATACTGACCTACCGATCCAAAATACTGACCTACTTCGATATGAACTTCGATCCCAAATACTGATGCAATCCCAAATACTGACCTAATTCGGCGATATGCTGTTTGTTGTGTTTCCAAACACTCTCAAGCCATGGACTACAAATATTTATTTTTTCGGCGTTAAGCTTTCAAAATCAGTATTTGGGATTGACGCAATCCCAAACACTGACCTAAATTGGCGATATGCTGAGTGTTGTATTTCCATACACTCTCAACCCAATGACTCCAAAAATTGAACTTATTCGGTGTTGTGTTTCCAAACTACTAAGAGTTGAAATCCACCGATTTAGTTAACAAAGGTTTTGAGATTTGTTCGTGGATTCCGCTGACAAGGGTTAAGTCCTTGCCTTTAAGTTCCGCATTGCTATAGATAAGAATTCCAGTTTTAGCTTTCAATTGGTCATATGCAAGTTCAGTAAAAGACAAAATTTTGAATCCACTTACAGTTGCGGAATCCAGAAAAACTAGCTATATTCGCTTGATGCGGAATCTTCGGCACAACAAATGTGCCGACAAAATTTACGTTAAAGGTATTTGTACGCGGAACCCACGGAAGTTTTGTAAGTGGAATCCACTGACATTTTGGAACATGTTTAAAGGTTTGCCTATGGAATCCAGGAACATACAGCTACAAAATTGTGCGCCTATCCAGTGCACAGTTTGGCTTCGTAATGAAGTTTTTGCAGCGCAAAATGACAGGGAATAATGATCGCTTCATAAGATTCTAATTTTGGTTCTTCGCATAAGGTTTCGTTGAGTTTAAAATTTTCATCATCTGGTCATTAATTTGTAAAATCAGTGTCACTCAAGTTAGGGGTGGGTGTAGGTCCCTCTTTTGGTATACTTGGCACTATGTTCAATCATCCCATAAAATTGTCTCAAGATGCCTTAGGTTCCGATAAACCAGTCTCTGGTTTGGGCATTGATTGGACAAAATTTTCCACAAAAATTAAAATTTTCGAAACACGCCAGCAAGTTAGCGAAAACACATCATTATTACAGCTTAAGATAACTTTAATTTAACTCTTAATCTGTAATTTCTGACTAGTTAAATGGTTTTATCAATCATTTTTTCTACCGTGTGGCTTAGACGTATTCTCAAATTAACTTGACAAACTACATGTTGATGTGCTTTTCAGACTAAAATTAATTTTCTGCCTTTAGTCAACCATTTTTAGCATCACACATTGCTGTCGTTAGCGAGTTTTCAAAACAAAAAAATGAGCGCTGAACAAAAACCGAATGGCGTTTCTTATGAATTTTTATCTGATTTGCATTCCAAACTAGAGCAGTTTGACAATGCGATTGAATTGACACTGCTTGATGTCGTGAAGAATATTATTATCCCGGAAACTCTCCAGAACAAATCGAATTATGTGTCAACCTTGGATCAGGTAACTTTTTAAACTTTTTGCTTTGAGATTTGAAAATAGTCAAATAATCGACAACAGAGTTGTCAATAATCAATTGCTGAATGGAATCATTGACTCGACTATTCTCTAATCTATGACCCCACAGGGTCCTTGTCGGGTTTTAAAACTCATTTTTGATTTTATATTATTTTTGCATGAGGATCTGTTGATTTTTGTTCTGCTTTTGAGCCTTTTTTTGCTCTTGGACCAGTCCATGTTAAGTAACGGATATTGTGTGGTGGGAATTGTTGTATAATTAAGCGTTTAATTATTGCTTTGTAGGCAGGATTTCTTCTAGGCACCATAGAACGGATAGCAGGTGCGAGTAATGGGGAATAGGGCAGGGGCAAAGGCGAATTTAAATGGGGGGGCGCTGGGGTTTGGGGGCGGACGTTTTTTTCTCTCAGCGATTCGACCCTCTCACCAAGCAAATGGTCCCTCATTTGACATTATTTTATGACATCCAGTTAAGGCCGACCACCCCTAAAGTTGTTCTAAAGGCGCTTTGGGGCCAATATATGCTAATTGTGAAAGGGAGTGCGCGCCGAAAAACGCATTTTTTCGGTCAAATAATCTAAAAAGTGCCCAAAAGCGGCACAAAAATTTCCGGCAAAATAAAGTTTTTATACTGTTCTGCTGAGAATTTTTTCAAAATTCTCCAGGTGCGGAGAAAACTTTTTTAGTCTTTCAGAAGAGCTCGGAAAATCTGTATAACTTTTTAAAAATTTGACAAAATGTTCCAACATTTTAAACAAAAATCCTCACGCCTCGAGCAAATCCTATATCAATCGAAATGTGGTATCTTAGATCTTTGAAAAATCTGAAGTACTTGAATCTTTTTCTAGTCTACGAACCGGCTGGGGCTATTCAACAAGAAGAGAATTATTTTTTTTTCAGACATCCGACTTGGTGGGCGTGGCAAATGTCATAGTGATTGCTTCTGAAGACACTCCTGTCTTGGAAACCCTGAGCATCTTGAGGAGTTACGCGAGGGAGAAGATGCCGGCCATTCGATGCTACTTCTTCATCGAGGAGTTCTCGCTCTCTCAACACAAGAAGGGACCCAAGTTTGAAACTTCTTCCGATATTGAAAAGCATTTCAATCTGTTCCCAGCTGAAGGAGTTATACAAGTAAGTCATGTCGTTTTGACCGAGTGGCCGAGATCGAGCGCAAACTAAAAAAAATTTGTCGTCTTCATGCGCAAAATTTGTCCCTTCATCGCCTTTTTGTTTCAAGGTTCGGCTAACTTTTTTAAGAGAACGAGACACACTGTTTCAAATAGTGAAACACTGTTTCAAATAAGTCTCAAAAATACTAACTCCAAAAAAATTTTATATAGAATTTTTCTAAGATTGTTTTCAGTGTCTCAACGGGAAGCTATTCTCATTACAGAAGAACCAAATACACGAAACCCAATCGAAAGCTTAAGTCAACTATCGGCACCACAGCAGTCCAAAGTTAAAACAATTTTTTCCGTTTTTTTTATTTGCGAAAACTCATTTCTGACAAGCTACTATAATTTGAAGGAATTCGTTCTTTCAGCCGTAAGGCAGTCCTCCCTAAGATTAGATCGCATGCATGATTGAATACCCTTGCAAGCGAAACAAATGCGGGTTGCTGTCCAGGTAAAACGGCATAAGAAATTTTTCGATACAGAGGTGAAGCGGCACTTCGCAGACTCATAAAATTTTAGTGAACGTTTTTTGTTTGCAGACAACACCAATATAACTAGTGTAAACTGTTCCACTCAAACACTAAAGCTCTGACATTAAACCAATAGTGCAATGCGGTATTCTAGAGTACGGTTATACTAGTTATATAAATCTTTTGCCCTTTGGATGATAAAAAAAGAAATAATTTGGTTGATTTTCTTTTTAAAAAAATTTGAAAGCAGACGAAATGTATTCCTCGTTGAAAAGTTTCTAGCACTTCACAAGCTCCATGTATATGGAATTCTAAAATTCGTTTTGCAATCAGTCTCAGGGCTACATTCGAAAAGATTTTTAAATGAACTTTTCCAATTTGATGCGCCTTCGTATACAATACTAGAAGAGCAATTTTAGATTTGATGAAAGTACTTAGTCATAAAACAAAGTTGAACGAGCGGGGAACAAAGTTCTATAAATTACTTTGAGAACATTCACTTCTTCCCACGTTTTTCTCAAGCCAATGTTTAACGGATTGCTCACCAAGTGGGCGATCTATTCATATTGAGGAATGAAGATCTGACCAAATTATTTTTTGTTTTTGATTTGTCTTCTTACTAAACTGATAATTCAATATAACATTTCAGACGCGTATGTCTGCTGCCAAAATTTTTACATTTTAGATAGGGTTTTCAAATCGCTTTGTAATTGCCGCTTGGGCTCAGATAGGTGTGTACTGATTCCCAAGCCCCCATTCGATGATTTTGATGTTACGGGGCTCTAGGAAAAGACACACAGTTAGCAGAATTATTAACCGCTTAGTGAACAAGTTCAAGTTTGTGTAATGAAAACGGTTAAAGGTGCCTCCGACCAGCGAGTTTTCAATATTTTTTCAATAAAAGAAGTAGTTTTAAAACATTGTTACTCCGTTTTTTCTACTACAGTAAAACTAATGTCATTCAATTTGAACCACTTTTGTTCATTAGATGCAAAAAATGAATGAGAATTGTCGAGATGGTGCCACATACCCTTTTGTATGTATTTATTTTGGCATTTGCAAGATCTTTTTCTTCAGCTGTAGCATTTAGGCTTGAATAATTGTGTATCTGATTTTTTTATCCGTTGTATCTAAATTGAATTCAAACAAATTCAGGGCAGCACTTGGAAACCCTCATGGGTTCGTTAGCCGTCCGCTCTTTATTATTGATGTATTTAGCGTTAATTCATCTTATTAACAAAAACAAAAAAATTATCGAGAAATTATTTCTTCTTCTTCTTTATGCAAATAAAACGGCAAAAGGAGCTCTGAAACTTCAGGGTAAGGCGCTGAATATTCCGATTGCTCCTTAATGGGTTTCGAATTGTGTTTTAAGTAAAGTATAAAATATGTATTACCAATATCAAATGCAAGTGCTAAGGTTAGAGTAGAAAGAATATGACGAAGGTTATTTGGCATCAATTCAAATTGGAACTTTTATGAGTGCGGATGAATTGCCGCCCAAAATTATTTTGCGTATTGAAACTATCAAAGTATTTTTCGATCAGCGTTGACATCAGCTTTTAAATGTTGTACAAGCATACTCACTTGGCAATCCAAAGACTTCAGCATTGATGCCCGTACGCTGTCAGCTCTTTAAATATTGGTCTCAAATCGTCGCAGGCATATATTTTGCTCACTTTCTTCCTAAGTCGGAACAATAAGTCAGAAAAAGAATCAAAATTGCACGAATCAGGGCAGAGAAGTGAATGTTCTGACAGCACTTTAGGGAATCTGTAGTAGACTTTCAAAACAAATTCAAAAATTATTAATTTATTTTTTGTCAAATTGCGCGCACAAGAAAAACAAGCGGTAATTTTCTGATCTAAATAAAGATTTTTCAAACTAAAAAAATTGCATATTGCTCCGACCGTTTCAAAAATGGGGAGAAACTTTGTATTCGGATGTGTTTTAGTTTATCTTCTTTCATTGTTTTCCAAATACAGGCACAAAAAACAAATAATCAATGAAGGCTTCGAATGATACATGATATTGAAGCCCTTTCAGTCGTGATTTGAACTACTTTCAAAAATTTTCATACAATTTTTCCAGTGTCGGGAAAAACCGGTTTGAAATATTGATTATTCGTCTAATTTCGAGCCAGTAACGCAAGACAGCAGGTTATCGGTGCCGATTTTGAGCCGTTCACAGCAGTTTATTTATACTTAGTTTCGATTTTACTGATTGAAATTGTTTTGGAGTTTTTAACGCCCGTTTAGAATCGGGAAGCGTCGAGAAAAACCGGTGTGGAACTTCAGTCTAATTGCGAGCAATTGAAGCAAGCGAGTAGGCTTATTATAGAAAAACAAATAGTAAAATAAAGTAACTGTAAAAATTTCAGTAAAATTAATTTTTGAAAGTTTTCAGCGCAATCTTTTAAGCAAAAAATTTCAATAACTCGAAGTTTCTGCAAAAAAAATTAAAAATTTTTTGAGTTTTTCTAATGTTTTTAAGATAGTTTTTGTGTAAGACCGTTGTTCAATTTGCTTGGCTAATCGACTACGACTGTCAATTATATCTTTTTCTAGGTTTCCGTGAAACCTTTTCATAACACCAAGCACAAAACAACACTAATAAAAAACATGATAAACTTCATGTAATTTTTTTTTAAGAAAGGGGTCGGAACATTCTTTCCTACTATAACCAGCTGCCCCTATTTTTTTGTATTGCGCAGGTTATATTCGCCGCACTTTTTACGCGTAATAAAACTATAAATTGCACAGGATTTATTGGCCGCATTAATGGAGGATTTGTATAATTTCCCATATTTTTAGTTGGTATCAAAAACTTTTTTTTTCAAAACCGAGAGTTAAAGCATATTACACACCTCAAGAAAAATAGTTCCATCAAGTTTATCACAAGCTAGTACAAAAATCACTGACACTAAGTATCGATCTCGGCAAAATTTGTATCTTTATCAATTTTTTTATTTCATGAAAAGTAATCCAAAAAGCTCGAAGACATTCAAAACACTGCATTTGCCCTGAAACTGGCAGTTTTGCTATTATAGTTTTCGCAGATGCTTCAAAAGTAAATTGCAGGCAGTTTTAAACGCGGCTCAATTAAAATGGATGAAATTCCGGCTATTTCAACAATCAAATTTTTAAACTCCTTCTTTGTTTCAAAACCAATTTTTACTTGTACTTGTATTGATCACATAGCTGAATTGGAACCAAACAGGCAACAGATAAATTACTATTAAATCAGAGTTGACGTTTTCGAGAAACAAATATTTTTCAAAATAAATACGATTGTCATGCCACGCATATAACATATCATGTTTATACGTTGCACACATTGCTGCAGTTATTGCAGTGGCGCCAAGGTCGCCCACCAGTCTTGGTAAGTTATCTCACACGGTGCTAAATTTAAATTCATCTGTCTGTATATCGAAATACGATTCAGATCTACTCTTTTGTTATGTTAATTTAACAAGCTCAACTCTATATCCTCTTATACCCAATACACTTTGTAAACATAAAAATGATTCTATATGGGCTAAGTCTATTCTACTTCTATGTACACACTACGGTTGTATTTAACTAATTCAACTCTTCTATTTTCCAGAGTTTTATCAGTCCTTGAGTTCGGTGAATGTCATGGCGCAGCCAACAGTTCCTGTTTCGGATGACAGGACGGACCTCGCTGGCTCTCCTCCGTTTTGGACTTAACCATCTTTATCCCCGCCATACAGTTGGGACAGCTGGTTCGGACAGTTCAGCCCAGCGTTAGGAACAAAGGACAATTTCAATGTGTCTGATATCCTTGTTGAACCCGGTGCGGTGCACGATGATCCACCTCCAAGGCCAGAAACGAGGACAGACCCACAAACACAACCAGAGGCAGATGATCGCCTCCGCAGAGACGCTGCTGCAAAAAGACGCGTCGACGAAGCAAACGGAATGAACTGGTTTTTTCACGAAGCAGAGGCAAGAGCTCGATCAAGAGTAGTCTTTGCTCTTGGCAATAAGGCAGAAAGAAACTAGTACAAGCTTTCCCATACGCTGATCTCAACCTGCTTTCGTTTAGAGGATTTTTTCAAAACTGCTTTTACGTCTTCAAGGTTGAACTAAAGGTCAGCATGGAACATATCAAACTCTATAACTCCTGATACATGGAAGCTAACGAATCATTTCTGTCATTTTACTCGAGGTTGTCGGCCCAAGCGGCGTTCTGTAATTGGACTGAACAGGAGGAACGCAGGGTGGTAAGAGATCTATTTATAGGTCGTATTCGTGGCTCCGATGTACAGAGTACATTAATCGGGAAAATCCAGGCCATACTGGAACATTAAAGCTAGCGTTGGAACTAGAAAAGGGTGCATTTACGTCGATGGAATTCAGGAAAAAACTACCTCATAACAAGAACGCTCGATCTTATAGTTTACCTAAAATAAAACAAGAACCAGCTTTTTCAAAATAATCGCGTCGGGGTGGGTGTCAATCTT